ACCATTCCAAACAATCAACAATTGGCGGATGCCCTGAAGGCTCAGTTTCAAGAAGTATATGCCAAAGTCGATGGCCTACGTCAATGGCTTGAGGATGCTCCTGGGTTGCATTCCTCAAGAGGGGGAAGTGAAGACGAAGTCCATCACAGTGAAGATGAAGTCCATCACTCCAATCATTCCATCTCACAACATCAGAGCCCCCCATCATTACAGAAAAAATTCCAACACCGCAACCTTCACCACCTCCATCTCATCAGACTCCACCTTAAAAAGAGATCACAATTGAAAAACCAGAGACTCCCATTCACTTCAAAAACCTGGTTGATCACATGTCCTCTCCAAGCTCAAATGACTCTCCTGCCACCACCCAAAGGAAAAAAGATTGGAAGGCAGCTAAACTGGCTGAGCTCATATGGAGAGAATGCGGTTTTGACACCATCATGGACGAATCCTTGATAAACTCTTGGATCAATCCTCACCGCAGACTGCTGGATGACGACTACAGACCTCACCTCACATATGTTGAACCCCCTTCGGATGGCTACTGGGATGTTCCAATCTCCCCAAATGCCAAATACTTCACAGTGTTTGAGCCGTTCGACCGCAGCCTTCCAGACCACAAAAGATTGTCAATGGAATTTGAGAGACTTAGTCTTTTTTATGCTAGGCATGCCTCTCCCATTGAGAAAATATGGTCTAACGATTGACCATCCGCAGTCAAGAACTACAAGCTTCGGAAGTTCATGAAGGCTGACTTCATCCAGTACACCCTCACCAGAAGGGAACACGACTATGTCCGCACCCAAGCTGACTTCCCCTGCATGAATCCGGAAGAAGTCTTTCTCATAGCTAAAGTGTTTCAGAACAAGTCGGAGAAGCATCCGAAGATGAAGATTGCGCTTGAAAGGGCTAATATTTTCTTGAAGGAAACTGTTTGCGATTTTGCTAAAATCGATGCAGACATCTACCCCACCATTGCCAAGAAATTTGATCTGCCACCAGTCGATCCTGCACCAATGCCTACCGAAGGCTATCAAGAAAGATCCTTAGGTGCAACCAATTTTCCTTAACTTGGAGTCATTTTCAAAAGGAAGATCGACAATGTCAAATACTTCATTCCTATGACTGCCATGCATCGCTTCACCAGGAAGCAACTTGATATCTGCCGAACCGCAGTTGAAAAATCGAAGCACACTACTGCAAAAGTCAAGTTCGAGATTTTAAGGAGGATCATCTGGTTGGAAAACATCAGGAAGTTTTGGTGGATCCTGATCAAGTTTCTTAAACTTGATAGCTGAACAAAATTTAAAGAGGTCACTTAGGGGGAAATTGTTGAATCATAAAAAGTGACCCTCTTGAACTTCAGCTACCGCAGCCGACAAGCACCCGCAGTCAAGCTCCTTCATCAGCAACCGCATCCGGAGTCTCTACGTACCGCAGTCTCTTTACTAGATTATTTTACTTGTCTTTTATTGTAATACTCTCTATTGTCCAATATGCCTTGCATGGTTACTCTTAGAGATGTAATCTAGTGTACTTCGTGAGTCTCTATAAATAGAGCTCATTCTCTTGTATTCATTACGCATCTATCTATTCTGAATACACATCTCTGAAGTTATCTTTTCTATCTCTATATCTAATTACTCATTCCTTCTTACTCTCAAATCTTACTAGAATACAACTGATTATAACCTCTCTTCGGAGCAAGTCTTTTGTGACTTAATCACTAAGTTTGATCTTCCTTATTAACTTGGTTTGAATGCATTCCTTGTTATGAATCAACTTATGTGTATACTTGATATAACAATTGTTGTCATTTCTATTTCTTTACTTTTCCGCAACTAACTCTCTAACTATCTAACTCTTAACTTATTAATATTATTGTTGAGCTTTTAGATCCTTCGAGATTAACTATTCCGCAATCTACTTGTTCTAACGTTTGTTCAAGTGTGTCTCTAAGTTTTTTCTCTCAACACAAACGAATATGGTTAAATGATAATGGAAGAAATAAATATTATGGGAGATGATATATTTAGCAAGTGAAAATCAAATCAGGTATATTTACTAATTTAAAACGACATAGTTTAGAGGTTTAATATCTAAGCTTAGGCGGAGCTGTAATTTACATATATATATATATATATATATATATATATTATAATATATATATATATATATATATATACTTTCTTGTAAAAAAATTTCCCATTTAATTTTCCTTTTTATTATTATTAGTTCTACTAATTATGACACCTTTAATCAAACGATTTCAATTCTTGCAAAGATGGTTTCTAATCCAAATTAAATTATCAATATTTGGTCACTCACCTTAACTACCGTACAAACAAATTTTTTAGGACATCCACCGGATGGATCTCAGTATTCCAGGCCTACCCCTACCAAAATGGATCTTAACATTTGTTAGGATCCCTCACCCTAAAATAAGGGTTTATGAGGTGAATTAGGGTTCATGATTTTCACCTCATGATTTCCAACCTTTAATCCATATAAAAGAAGGGGATTAGCAGATAGCTTAATACCTTGTTTTCTTCACTTAGTTAGTAAAAGCCCCTTGATTTGAATTTGATTTATGATTGGAATTTATTTACACATGATGTTACATCAAGAACACACACATACAAATGAAAGATTATAACTCATTAAATATAACACCAAAAACAACAAAACTATAGTCTAAAATCATCTACAAATTCGAAATTACATGTTGGAATAAAGCCCATGTCAATCCGACTTAAAACGAATGAGATATATTTGTTTAAAGAATTTCACAGAATACAAAAGTTTAAATTTCTTGCTAAAAAGCTGAAATATTTCAGCTTTGATATCTGATCTTTGAAATATTGTAACTTACTGAATATAACACCAAAAACAACTAAATTATAATCTAAAATCATCTAAAAATCTAAATTACACGTTGGGAAAAACCGAATGTCAATCCGACTTAAAACGAATGAGATATGTTTGTTTAAAGAATTTCACAAAATACAAAAGTAAAAATTTCTTGCTGGAAAGTTGAAATATTTCAGTTTTGATATCTCATCTTTGAAGGATTGTAACTCATCAAATATAACACCAAAAACAACAAAATTATAGTCTAAAATCATATACAAACTCTAAATTGCACATTGAAAAAAACCGTATGTCAATTAGACTTAAAACGAATGAGATATATTTGTTTAAAGAATTTTACAAAATACAATTTTTTTTTAAATAAGTCAGTCCAAAACCGGTTTTTACTTGGAACCAGTCGGACTGGACCGGTTTTGCTGAAATCCTAGAACCAAGAACCGGCCCGAGGGTCCAAAAAAACGGTCCGGTCTGGTCTGGTTCACCGGTCCACAGGTCCAAATGCTCACTTCACCGGTCCACAGGTCCAAATGCCCACCCCTAGATCAAATGGTGTGTATTTCGTATGGTCGGCTTGTCAAACATATAAGAGGGGTGGCTTATAATGTGTCAAAATTTCAGCCCATGTGGCCTTGTCACACGTTGCGATGCATCATTGTAATGGGTGGTGGTCAGCCCACACACTCATTAACTCAAACAATTAAGTCGGCCATGACTATTAACTGTGGTTCCAACTTTGGACTTTCATAACTTCCTCATACATACTCTAGTTGGCCTAATTTTTCTTTCATTATTTATACTTCACAAGAGCTTTCCAAGTACATATCACACTTGTAATTCGGACATCGGAAAGTCATCATTTTTAAGCTCCAAAGTAGGTGCCTATTATAAATTGGAAATACTTAGAATATTTTCTAAGTCCATTACATTTCACTGATTTTTTCATTACCTTTAACTAGCCCTAACCTCCTCATAGTAGCTTTACTTTTCGTGAGCCTTATATATATGGGAAGTTAGCTATGAGCTCTAAAACTTATTTTTAATGAGTGTTTCCTGATTTTGATTTATTAATCCATGGGCATTAGGGATGTTGTAACGTCCCAAAAATACAAAACAAATGTAAGCAAATGTTCGATGAACTGTCTAAATGAAATTATTTTATTCTTTTTTGCTTTTATGTTATGATTTATGTTATTTGGATCATGATTTAGTAAGAAAGACCTAAAAGGGTTCTTTCTAAGCATAATTTTACAAAAAATACGTTGCATGCTACCGAACTATTTTATAAATATGCTATTTTGCATTGCTTTAGAATCAGCCAAAACAGTCTGCATGTTGATGAACTTAGGTTAGCAATATAAAGTCGTGTCAAGGTCATTGTTTATCATTTGGTCAATGTCATCATTTATCATTACCTATTCCGATTATTTAAAACCGTCTTGACCATACTTGATTTTTTTTAATTTTATATTATTCTCATGAGTTATGACACCAACATATACAAGTCCTAGATCCACACCAATGAATAATAATAAATAGATGGTTGTAGAGGAGGATGATGAAGACCAAAAGAATAATATTTACAAATCCAATGGACCAAACATATTAACGTATTGACGGTTAATTTTGATAATCCGTATGTACCAATCGTTGAATTCCTTGACTATGATGCTTCTTGGGATAATTGCCCTCGAAAAAGATCAATTATCAATTCCATTTTCTTTTGCAGGATCTGGAATGTTTGGTTGGCCCGAAATGATATAGTTTTTAAAAAAAGTTAGAGTACCACTTACAAAAGTCGTTGATAACATCATCTCCATATCGTTTGTTTGGTGCAAATATAGAAGGAAGAGGATTCAATCATTTCAATTTCCGTTTAATTACTTAATTGTTGTAGCATATTTATGTCTTTTAATTTGCTATTTTTCTCTCTTGGATCTTGCCTTGCTTTACTTTATGCTAAGCTTTGTGTTTTTTTTAATCTATTTGCTGTTTTCAATAACAAAAAAAAAAAAAAAAAAAAATCTGCGAGCAACTTGTCGTTCATAACTATTGATTTCCGCGCCATAAGAAAACCCTCGATTTGATCCAACCTTTCAAACATCTCCTTCCTCCCTGTACCCGACACATCAATGGAAGACGACCGCCGTGTCGGTGATCTAGTCGGGGAACTTGTCTGCCATTTACAAAGCGATTCTTCCTCTCCACACTCTAACTCAAACCCTAAACCTAACCCTAACTCTGAAGATGTCAAGTACGCCATTCGCATTCTATCCAGCCGAATGACGCCATTGACAGTGACTAACGAAGCCGCTATGGCTAACTCCATAAAGAGTCACATGGCTAAACAAGGTAAGCTATCTGATGCGTTAACTTTTGCAGATCTTTATTCTAGATTCGCTTCTAAAACTGGACCTGGTAGTGTTAAGAACAAGCGCGCCGTGCTTTATTTGCTCAAAGTCATTTCCGAAGATCGAAGTAGCAACCCTAAATTCCAAACGGATCGGAGCTTTGCTGCCTCTGACACCAATGGGAATGATCCTAGTGATTTAAAGGACAGATCGAAAGGTCGGAATGATAATTTAAGGGCATTGAGTGATCACAACTTGAAAAAATTGAAAAATGGAGGGGTTTTATCTATTTCCAGAGACCCCGATGATATGCGGGATATGGCTTACAGAGAGTTTGCTACATTAGTAAACATGGAGAGTGATGTTTCAGAGGAGGTTTTGGTGAGTGATGTGTTGTCTGTTTGTCAAGGAATCGACGGAAAGTATGTGAAATTTGATGATACTGTTGATGGATATGTTCTACCAGACTCTATCAAGGTTCCAAAAGCTACTAGAATCATGATTCGTAAGCTATGTGAGCTTGGATGGTTGTATCAAAAGGTAATCAGATATATTTGTGAGAATATAGATGGTTTTCCCAGTGAAAATGTTGGAAAGGTTGCTGAAGCATTCTGCTATGCATTACAAGATGAGCTATTAGGGTATGATAAGTTGCTGACAACACTTCAATCACATGATCTTTCTCTGAGGCGACTCTCAGTCTGGTTAGTTGAGTCAATGGTGAAGATGAGGCGAATGGCTGTTCTTGTAGACAGTTGCAGGTCTCTAAAGGGTGGGGCAATGGCTGGAGCAATTCACTTACACGCCCAACATGGTGATCCTCTTCTTCATGATTTCATGAAACAATTACTTCAAAAACTCTCGTCTCCTCTTTTCGAAATGGTAAGGAGTTGGGTCTTGGAAGGCGATCTTCAAGATTCATACTCTGAGTTCTTTGTCTCTGAACAATCTGTCAAACCAGAATCTCTCTGGAGGGAAGGTTACAAAGTCAACTATCTCATGCTTCCTTCTTTCATCTCTCAATCTCTTGCTCATCAGATTCTAAGAACAGGTAAGTCCATTAATTTTCTTAAAGTTTGTTGTAATGATCATACTTGGGCTGATTTAGCAACAGAAAGCACATGTTCCACATGGACAAATCCCAAGAGAGGGGGTCTTGGATATGGTGAAACTAATGCACTTGAATCTTTAGTCACTGAATCATCAAAACGAATAGATAAACATTTAATGGATGTAATTTTCAATCGATACAAGTTTAAAGAACACTGTCTAGCTATCAAAAGATATATCCTCTTAGGTCAAGGTGATTTTGTTCAATACCTAATGGAACTCATTGAGCCAGTGCTTTTAGACCCTGCAAACACAATCAGCTTATTTCATCTTTCTGGGCTATTACAAAAAGCAATTTTGTCATCTAGTGCACAACATGATGATCCCGATATTTTAGATAGATTAACAGTTAAGATGATGCCACATGGCACAACAGATGGGGTCCATGACATTGGCTGGGATGTGTTTTCTTTGAATTATGATCCAAGAGTTCCATTGAACACCATAATTACAGAATCTGCCATGGGTGATTACTTGAAAATCTTTAACTTTTTATGGAAGATCAGAAGGGTAGAACATGGAATCCTTCGTTCATGGAAAACCATGAAACCGAATTTGATTACTTATTTACTGACTAAGTTGCCAAAGGGTGTAAAGTTCCAGATAGTTTTAAGACGTTGCCAAGTTCTTTGGGGGCAAATGAGTCATTTCCTGACAAACTTGCAATCGTACATAATGTTTGAAGTGTTGGAGGTTTCATGGGCTAAGTTCTGTAACGAAATGGAAATAGCTAAAGATCTTGATGACCTAATTGGTGCTCATGATAAATATTTGTCATCAGTTATTGAAAAGTCACTTCTTGGAGAAAGTTGTGAAGGTGTTAATAAGACTCTGTTGATGTTGTTTGATGTGATGTTGAAGTTCAGTAGTGTTCTTGATAAGCTTTATGAAGGAATTTTTGGATTTGGAAGTGATAAAAAAGGTAAAGGTTCAAAAGGAACAGATTCATGGGTTAATGAAGGGAGAAAAGCTGTAACACAACGTGCTGGTGATTTTATAAATAATATTGGACATGATTTAGATGAGGTGTCAAAAGAGTACTTTTTGTTATTGAAGGGGTTTATTTGTCAATTGCCTATGCAACAACATGTTGACTTGAAATTCCTCATGTTTAGGCTAGATTCAGGTTATTATTAACTAGGTTATATAGTATTATGTGTTAAAAGTAAGAAATATCAATTTCACTTTCATTGGTTTGTTTAATATAGCATTCTACTTTCATTTCTTCTTATTGCAAATATTCAACAATGATTTCAGTTTTTTTATTGTCAAGATTCTGAGGTTGTTCAAGTACATCCATCAGTTTAATTAGTTTATATACTTCTAACTTATTGTTTTCATAAAATAATGTTGTTTTTTTTAAGTTTATAGACAAAATTACTTGAATGATCTTTGTTGTTTACAAAAAGTCACTATTCCGGTCTTTAACTTTTTTCTTGACGAAGACGGTCCTTGTAGTTTCAAATTTTTACGTGGTTGGTCCTTCACTTGTTATTTTGTGCTTGCTTTTACTAACAAAAGATGATAAACAAACCCAAAAATTGGATAACCATTAACCAAAAAAGCAAAAGCCTCTAATATCTATGAGTATCGGAAACTAATCAAATGGATGATTGCTCGAAACTGATCAAAACTCGAACCCAACTCAGGTCGACTTATTGCCAGCTCTATGTTCGGTCTTTCAAAAATTTGATAGGTTTAATCCATATGGTTTCCAAAATCTCACGGTTTTGGTCCATGACCTATATAAAAGGGCTATTTTTATCTTTATGTATTTAATTTTGCCTTTTTTTTTTATCTAAGTAATTAAAAATAGTTATTTTAATATTATGGCCCACTCTACCAGTTGCAACATCAAAATCCTTCTCCTCTTTTCTCTCTTTATCTCGTATTCCTCTCTGACCACCATCACCAGCCAAAAGGTCGTCATGGTTTTTATCGACGATGGGGTGTAGGTTAGGGTGGGGACTGTGGGATGAGATGAGACGGATGCTATACTGCTACAAATTATAAATGAATAAAGGAAAAGAAAAAGAAAATATATCAGAAAAGCTAGTATAGTCATTTTATATGAGTCAATGACCAAAACTTCAAGATTTGAAAACCTGTGACCTATCGACTTCAACTTTTCGAATGTTCGTCTGAAACTGCAAATTTGACCAAACAACAGGGGCTATTTCTGTAATTTACTATTGTTTTTATATATCTCGAATGTACAGCTAAAGCTTATGAAGTTTTGTCACTTTGTGTTTATTTCTTAGTAGAATACGGAGTGAGTGATTATAATGTATTAATGAATAATGATCTCTACCTAACCGTGTTAAACTAGTCAAATATTTAAATATAATAATGACAAAAATTATCTATAAATCAATGCACTATGAATGCACCATTTAATTAATTAAACTGATATTATCAAGCAAACCTTCCTAACTAATTACCAATTGCCGAAAGCCATGGAAGACATGATCAACTTCAAAACACTTCAACAACACAGTAGCAGCTGGTTGAAAGGAAGGTACACGTTGTATAAGTATAAAGGCTTTTGGAACTCTCAAAAGTTCCACGAATGGGCTTTTTTAGCGCATAAAACCTTCAAACCCAACCCAAGTGACGTAATCATCTCAAGTTGCCCTAAAACAGGCACAACATGGCTAAAGGCCTTGACTTTCGCCATTGTTACTCGAAACAAGTTTGATGAATCTACCAACCCTTTGCTCACAACCGTTCCCCATGAATGCATCCCTTTGCTCGAAAGAGAATTTGAACAAATCGAATACAACCGGATAAACAATAACCCTGATTTCATCCCCTTTATCGCTACACACCTTCCTTACAACTCTTTACCCGAATCTGTTGTATCTTCAAACTGTAAGATTGTTTACATATATCGTAACACAAAAGATGTCGTTGTTTATAATTACCAGTTCTTTAGAAAAGCGTGCAAAGTAGCTGAGGAAGAAGCGTGTTTTGAGGATGCGTTTGATGAGTTTTGTCAAGGGATTTCATGGTATGGACCTTATTGGGATCATATTTTGGGATACTGGAAAGCGAGCTTGGAAAGACCTCAAGAAGTTCTTCTTATGAAATATGAAGATATGAAGAGAGATGCTAGAAGCAACGTGAAGAGGTTGGCTGAGTTTATTGGGCATCCGTTTACAATCGAAGAAGAGAAAGAAGGTGTGATTGAATGTATTGTGAAGTTGTGTAGTTTTGAGAAGTTGAGCAATTTGGAGGTGAATAAAAGTGGAGTTCATAGTCCAGTAGGGTCTAATGGGGTTGAAAACCAACTTTATTTTAGAAAGGCTGAAGATGGAGATTGGGAGAAGTATTTCACCGATGAGATGAAAGAAAAAATAGATGAATTGATGGATCAGAAGATGGAAGGCACCGGTTTAGTGCTGAAATAAGAGCCTCATATGGTCGAGTTTGAACATTTAATTTTTATTCCGGACAACACCCATAATATAAAAATGGAAAAATTGCTTTATGACATGCCTAGAACAATATGATAAAAGATGATCATACAAAGCACATTTATTATGTTATAAATGTTTCTTTCTAAGATGTGGATAATACATGCTTTATATTTATATTTATAAATACAAATGTCTTACAGTTTTATTTGTATGATTAGTGATTGTCTAATTACTTGATAATATAACAAAAATTATATATAGTTTAATTAGGAAAGTTAGTGATGTGAGGTAAGTGTACTGCTTATTTCATTTATTATTTTTAGAGCCAAATTAGCTAAAATCAAATCACATTATAAATTTATAACATATAATACAAAATGCAAAATAAAAGTTTTTCTGGAAATATAGGTTAAGACTCCGGCCATAGCAACATCTTGTATTTATACTTTTTCATCTTAAATTTTTTTGGTCTAATAGTTTTCTCCCTTCATAAATTTAAATTTAAATTTAAATTATTGGTATTTTATAAATTACAATTGGTCTCTTATTATATTTTAAATTTATGTTCTCATTCTCTTATATAATTCTTTTTTATAGTTTTTGTTTTTATTAACTTTTTTAAGAAACACTTTCAAGTTTTATTTCTGTCTGCCTCATCCATATATAAATCATAAATGGTCTCATCCATATATAAATGTTTAGATCGAAAATTTATTTAGACACTTTTATGGTATCGATACTATGTTATATATATATATATATATATATATATATATATATATATATATATATATATATATATATATATATATGGACTGCAAAAGTGCCATCCTTGTATTAAATTTAAGGTTTGAGTTTCTTACATAATTTTTCTTACAGTTTTCATTTTTATTAATTACAAAAGAATTGTAATGCTCGAAATGAGTTAAATACTAGTTTTTTTTTTTATATTTATGAATTACCTGTGTGAAATTAATAATTATTAATCACTTTCACTTGTTTATAATGAAAAGTGTAGGAGTACACGTGTCTTGGTTTGAAATTGGTAATGGGAATTGCATAATTGAGTCACCGTCGTCAACGTTTGGTACGGAAGAAGATGGTCGACAAGGGGAACTAACTTTGGACTCATCCGGTCACCGTCAACAACTACAACACCCACTTGTGTTCCAAAATACCCACGCGGATACACAAAATTACATCTCAGCCATTACGCGTCTTAGGAATTTTATTGATATTCAATAAAACACCTTAATGATTACAAGTAATATTTTATGTGGACACAAGTTTAACTTGTTTATATGATCTACATTTTACACTTTATCATCAACGACTTGTATTTTAGTAGATTTGTATACTATTTTGTTTTTCTTTTGTTTTATATACAACGTATAATTTTGTCTGTAAAGATAAAAAACCTTTGGCGGTTCAATTGGTCAACCCAATACTATGTCTTAAAACTTTATAAAAGCTAATCAATAAAATAACGAACAAAGATGAGAATATAACATTACATGACTATTATATATATATATATACTAGTAAATTTCTATGGCCGGTGCTAAGCACGACCCGTAAAGGGTAATTTGAGTATTTTAAAGGGTTAATTTAAAATGGATGAATGTATAATGTTATAAATTAAGTAGATTTTTTTAAAATATAATGTGCAGACAAAAACTATAAGTACAATATTGTAGTAGCAGAAAATGGAAGTACGATGTTATAAATGATAAATAAATGGAAGTATGTTCCTATTTGTTGTATTTAACACTTTTAAATTGATAAAAAAAACACTCATATGTAAGACCTATAGAGAACATAACCATAACAATCATTCTATTCAACTACAAATCAAGTATTTGAACTTTTTCTCACAATAAATTATGTTTTTCTTTCACTAATAATCCAAATAAAGCAATACCAAGAAATTAATCAATTCATTATTCGTCACATATGGTTGATGTCAGGTTTTGATGGCTATCTAGGCTGGTTTCCTATATTTGAGTATGGAAGTAAAACTGTTGATGTGCACTGTGTAATAAATTTTTATGTACAATGAAAATACATTGCTATTTCTTCTATTGAAGTTCATTAACATCTGTTATAGTCGATCTTTGAACAAACTCAACTCGCTCCGGTACACACGTAGAATATTTATTTTAGAGAAAACTAAAGAATTCAAATAGTCATTGTCATTTGTCGTACATCAAGTTCATACTAACTCAACTAATTTTGAAGAATTTGCTATGTTAGTCGGAACCATGTAAAAAATGAACATTTGAGTTGAGCCCACTAATATGGTTTTTTTGATCTTTAGAGCTAATAAATTCTTTTTTGATAAATTATAAAAAAAAAAAATTCTAAAAGAAACATTCACGCATCCCATATAAGCAATCTTAGACATAATAAATTAAATACACGAAACAAAAAAGTACATATATTTAAACAATGTGTATTATGCATATAAGTTTACCTATAATTGCATTTATGACCGAATAATATTTTATGTGCAGTATTTTGCAATTCACTTAAAAAATGACCGAGTTACTCCATCTTTCCTTCACTTTCTCATATAGGCAAAGCGTTTGGCATGTACATCTTCCCCACATACATAGATTCAATATCAACAATCAAATTGTATGTAATGTCATCATCAAATCGAGTATCTGAATTGTGAGACTAATAGATAGGTCAGTTGATGAGTTCAACTATAGAATC